TACAGCGGGAACGACGCAGACGGATACTGGTGGCACAAGACGAGGAGCAGAAGTGGTTTAACATCAAGAAGGTGCTTCAGGGCCAAGCAGAAGAGCTGAGCTACAAAGAAGCTCGAGATGCCTGGAAGTATGCTGACCGGTTCGTGTTATCAGAAGACGGCGTGCTTCACTATCTTGGATTGAATCGTCGGTACGACCACGGTTGGCAAGAGGAGACCAAGCTGCGGCTTGTGGTACCGACAACGATGATTCAAGAAGTCTTGCAGAACTGTCACGACTCGCTGGAAGGAGGACATCAAGGTGTGGTGAGGACGTTCCACCGCGTTAAGTCCGATTATTATTGGATCGGCTTGTACGCCGACGTGGAGAAGCATGTGAAGTCATGTCCGGATTGCAGATCGAGTAAAAGCCGTCCACAGCCTCGTGGATACTCACCTGGTAACGTGCTAGCCGAACGACCTTTCCAGATCGTCTCGATGGATTTTGTGATCCCACTACCGAAATCTCGTAGGGGCAACACGGCGTTGCTCCTATTTCAGTGCTCGTTCACGGGATTCGTTATTGCCAAGGCTATGTCAGATACGACTGCACTGAGTGTTGCCCAAGTGTTCGAAGAATGTGTGTACCGACGATTCGGAGCCCCATCATTAATAAGGCACGACCGCGACCCACGCTTCATGAGCGAGGTTTTCCAAGCATTTGCAGAGATGATGCAGTCAAGATCACGAGCGACTTTGAGCTATCGGCCACAGGCTAATGGACAGCAGGAACGCTCGGTGAAGTCGGTGATGGGATCCGTACGGGTGTACGCGGAAGACCCTCTACAGCAAGATTGGGATGAAATCGCGGAGAAGCTAGTATTTGCTATTAATACTTCTCAAGACACTACGAGGAAGGAAACGCCGTTCTACCTCGTTCATGGCTGGGATGCGCAGTCGACGTTGCGGGCAATGTCGTCATCACTCAAACGAGGACTCGGCAAGCAGTCTGACGCACTGGCGTGGCGGCGCGAGATCAATCGACAACATGAGGTCGCCCTCGCTATGGCCAAAGATTATCAGGCTGTAGAAAGGGAGCGAAGGGCTAAAAAGCATAATGAGGCCCTGAGTCGACTGGAAAAAGCTGCTGTACCTCAACCAAGTGGAAACGAACACTCGGCGAACCCTCCAGAAGCTTCGGAAGAGATGGAAGATCCTGCAAGAGCTCCACCGAGATCTCTTTTTGAGATTGGGAGCCGGGCGTGGTTGTACATGGAACGCGTCAAACCGGGCTTGACGAAGAAACTAGCTCACCGATGGCATGGACCTTTTCGGATCAAGCGCAAG